GTTGAAGCATGGGCAATATCCTCTTGACAGGTACAATGATGTCCAGATAAGCCTAAGATAAAGTGGCCTCTACAATGCTTGGGAATCAAAATTCAGTGTATAGATAGATCAAAGTTGTGCCTTAGTCTCAATGCTCTTCTTTTATTCCTTTAATGCTGTCTAACAGAGAGAGGAACATGTACATAATTCTTACCTGTGGAAACGGGAAGTGCTGAATGAGATTCATTCAACTCTCATCCTTCCAGTAGCTTTTATTCCTGTTGAGAAGGAGAGGAGGTTTATGAAATAAGTTTGCTTAGCTTGTAAGCATTTATGTCAGCATATATGATCTTTAATTCAGCAATGGTCTGTATTGTTAGGAGACCTTTACTATAATTGAACAAAAATCTACAAACCAAGTAAATGAACCTAAAACTTCCTGTTATTTCATGTTAGCTAAAAATACAAGAGCACTTGAAGGCTCTCAAACGTATAAGCACTGAAGTCAAACTGTCACCTTTTATATGTTTTTAACCTTCAACTTCCTTTAATAACTTCATCTGAAAGACCAACTGAGGAAGCACTGACAGTATATAAAATTTATCGTGGCCATTTAGTACCAGAGTCCAAAGTCATTCTGCATACGTTTAGAAAATTAATGTACCTAATGCTTCTATATAATAACTTCTACTTAGAAGTTATCTGGATTATTTTTAAATGTGAACTACAAAACTAGTTGCCCTAATTTAAAGAGCAGTTCCAGAGGGGTTACAATAGCTTGCTGTGCAGAGACATTTATACTAACAGCTTGGAATTCTATTCATACATTCATTAATCATTTCCTTTGCATTACTGCTTTTTTCAGTTTCTGTCAGAATGCTGTCATTGTACAGAAACAGCTAAAATTTCCTTGATCGCTGTCAGAAGAGGGAACACACAGAAACCTTTATTATCCATAACTTCACACATTTTCTGCTCAAGTGTTATGCATAACCTAGATACCTGAGTATGCCTTTGAAAGGTCTGTGCTTCTGTAAAAAGGAAATCAGGTGAAAAGGTGGTGCATTCTTTTCTATAAAATGGAAAAAAATCTATACCGCTGAGCTCACTTTACATCCTTTTAATAAGCACAGCTTTCAAGGAGATTCCATGGGTCTGTATGAGGGCTAATACTACTGTGGGGCACAGTACCTTGGAAAAAATAAAAGGTCTTGATAAGTAATTAAATTGTTCATTAATTACATGCAGGATGGAAGCTTTCATCCTTTTTGTATCTGTACTAACTATGCAATATGGGCTTTTTGGACTTCAGACCTGTTTCAGGGAGAAGCAGTTCATGTAACATTTTGTTCTATTTGTCTCTTTTCAGTTACTTACTTCATTTCATATAATTTATGTAATTTAATAGTTTAAGGTATGTTTCTCTCTGAAAAAGAAAACTAATTGGCTAAATACAAATTCTGAAGCCAAATAAACATTTCTTCAAGTTATTTCTCTAGGACTAGTACAGAGGATTTGCTTTACTGTGTTGTATGGACAGCTGTTGCAACATTTGTGATGATATATGAACTTTTGGAAGTTCAGATACGAAGGTAACCATTTATGGAGGGATTATTCCACATGGATAAACATTTACATTATAATAGGAAAGAACATGCCAAGCTATTCACAATCTTGAAATTATAAATTTTATGTTTCCATGAGAAATGGGAATGCTATGTAATGTAAAAGAAGTTGCATTGAAATATGCTAGAAGTCATTAGCTTTTGTTTTGAAAGCCTTCTAAATATGCTCACAAATGCTTACCTCTAGTATCTTGAAGAATAGGAACTGATGTGTTTTCACACACAGATACAATTCTTAATACAGTTCTTACTGAATTTCTGTGAATTCCATAAAACTCAAAATGTAATAGCATAAAGATTTTTCTAATCTACTAAGGAAATAGGAGATCCTAAGCTCAATTGAAGTAATCGTACTGTAAATACCAGTCACAGGAGCTTTCATTTTTATGGCAATCGTTTACTTATCAGGAACCTCTTCTGTAGTTAGTGGCAAGCAAAAACAATATATTGTATTTTAAAGATTTTCCTTTCTACTTCTAGCAGCAGCAAACTGATACTTTATACTGCTGTCTATATTTCCACTTGTTTGGTATGCTGTATCTCCATGGAACTGATACACCCAGGTGTTGTTAAACTCCTTATTACTGTAACAAACAACTGGAGTAATATTTTCTTGTTTTTTACAAAGAGTTGATCTCTGGATTTAGTTGTGCGCTCTTCTTTGCAGTGAAGGAGTTATATTTTTACTTCAGAGCTGTATTAAAGGTCAGAACTTTTCAGGTTTCCATATGATAAAAAAGTTTTGGTCCCGATATCTGTATTTTTCAGGATTATAGGTCTGTCACAGGTGTATGAAAAGTAAACTTTTGTGTAGTGAGGTTGGGGTAATGCGGAAGGCTGTAGTCATGAAAGCATCTCATCTCCAGCGAGAATAGACATTAGTTATCTCCAGTGGCCATGTACACATGCATTTATTAATGCAAATGTCTGTGTTGTTTCAGGACTTCTGGGATGGGCTTCAATGTCTTCTTACACATATATGTAAAATAAAATTTCTAAAACTACCCTGAAGTTCAAAGGCTGAAAATTATAGTCCCGTGGAGAATGTTGTAAAATATATCTGGTAGCTGCCCCGTTATGGCAACTTGAAATAAGCATACACAGTCTTCAAATCTGACCTAGAAATCTCATGGTCAGAGTCAAACTGGAATTAAATGCCTGCAAGTCTTAACACTAGAAATTCTAATCTTGCTGAACAAGTTGACTGCCATTCTTTTGTAGGTGTTTTAAAGATAGAGGTGATTTTCTCTAACAAGCTCCCCTTAGAAAGTCCCCCGCTGATTCTTGATTGAAGCAAATAAAGTTTCGGTCTTTTAATTGACATTAGTAAACTTTGATTTCTGACATATGTTTGATAAAATATTTGCACATTTGTCATCTATTGTGTCATTCTTTCAAATGAAAGTGAAATAGCAGTTTTGTAGTCTGCGCAGTCAAGAGAAGAGTCATGGAGGTCATTTAACTAATAAAATCCATTTGTTTCACCTTTGAATTAATGGGAAAAAATAATTTCCTAAGTGCCCTGATAGTTAAAGCTAATGTCTGAAAATACTGAGTCCACAAGAAAAGTTAGTTACACATCATTAAGTAGCACCATGATGTGAATTTCACCACTCCTTCCACAGGTGTTTTCCATTAGAATATGTCTGCTCCATTCAGACCTATTTTAAGTAAATTCATGAGGAAATGCCTCTTTACATGTTTATCCTGGAAGGGCAGATAGGTGTTTTATTTTATAAAGCAGACTAGAAGATTTCTATTCTATTCTTCAAATGAAAAAAATATTTTTCGGAACATAGTATTGCAGTTTGGTAATGTGTTTCTAGCTGCCATTAGAGACACTTATAATTAAAACATAATAAAATTCATGAAACAGAAATGATTGTTTCTTAGAAATGCTGGTGGAAGGGGTATTTGCCTGCATAAGTGTTTGTGTAAAAAAAAAGTATGTTCACTATATATACTTTTATTAATATACTGTTACACTTTTCTTTTGGTGATCTTGTAAAATATTACTATGTATTGATACTTTAAGGTTAGAATATATCATCTCTTAAATAATGTGTAAAAGATGTACTGATTTGCTAGCAATTATCTCATGACAAATACCCAACATCAATAATTTCCGGTAATAATTTCTAGTTTTGGAAAACAGCTTGGCTCTTGCAGACAAAACCAACATCTTTCAAATGCTTTACTCAGTTTAGTGAAAAACAGACAAATGGGTTGTGATTAAGAACAGTGATAGATTATAAGACATGTAAACTACTTGGTCACGTAATTTCAATGTTCATTTTCTCCCTGGAAAAATGTTTTGCATTACGAGAAAATTAGAAGAAAACAACATTCTCTTTGGCTGTCATTTCCTGGCTTTCAAAGTTCATGGTGTCACAAATGGTTGAAAAAAACACATTTGCCTTCTGCTTTTTATATATGTAACTGAGAGGTGGTACAGGCATAATTTAAGTTTAAAGCGTAGCATTATTTAGACCATCTTTATAAATTCTTCAAGTGTTGCTTTTATATAGTGATTTTTTTCAACTTCTTTCCTAATACTCTTCAGACTGAGAGGAAGTATTAGATAATCATGAAGCTAAACATCTCTTATTATTGTAACTTTTTTTTCATGTCATGAAATCAATTAAAGGAGTGCTGTATATATCATTTAACTGAATCTACATTTTAAATCACTTTGTAAGAAAATGAAAAACCTAAGTGTCTTGGAAGAGTTATTTTTGTCTGTTTTACTAGCAGATAATTACAATATGGTTACAATAATATGAATTTTTTTCTCCCAACAGCATCAGAGACTTCTCAACATTTTGGAAGCAGAAAAGGATGTGTTATCAGAAAAGATAGAAGCAGCTTTGATGCAGCAGTCTAAAAAACACAAGGTACTGCTTTTATTAAAAAAAAAAAAGGGGGGGGTGTCTGATCTTTACCATGGAGTTCATTCATAATTGAAATTTGAAATTATTATTAGACACTCCTCTATTGTGTATTGCACTTTAATTTTTCATAACATTTACAGGAAGTGCTTGACAAATGTTTGGATGAAGAAAGGCAAAGAAGTAAGGAAGCTGTGGCAGCTGCTGCAAAGGTATCTCTTGTTAAGTAATAGACGTGCAATGTGGATTCCATGTGTCATTACAAATGCCAAGTTCAGCAACTCATTCCTATTTCATAATTAAATTGGTCAAACTTTATGTTCTCATCTGTGTTTAAAAGAATCTAGTTCTTATAAATCATGAACATATCTGCTATCTCCTATGCCTTAATACAGATAGTCTATGCACTTCTACTTTTTAAAATATGATTTATTCAGCCTTTTTTTATTATTAAGTGCATTGGGGTTAAGACGATAGTTTTGTAAATGTTAAGTTATCTTTCATTTCTCATATTGATGTAGAATCCAGTAGAAAATTTCAGTTGCATGTAATGATCTGGGAAAACTAGTGATGTATGTTACCTAGCACAGTTGGTTAGGCTATATTATCATTTCCTGTATATCTTCATATGTGGTATATGCACACTAGCTGAGCACCTGTCTGAGTATCATTCGGTAATGCCAGAAACATCTGTTTCATGGTGGTTATCGAAGGCAAAATGTGTATATAACAAAATATATGTGTATATAACAAAAAGTGTATGTAACAAAAAATTAATAGGGGATTTTTTTAACTTACATTTTTATTCTGTTTTATAAATGTCTAAATAAAAAAATCAACTCCAAATGAATTGCAAGAAACAGCTTTATTTTTAAGTGTAGGTATTTGAGGAACCCAGTATTTTTTGCCATTTATAACTTCACTTGACCAGTTCCATAGTCACCACCAAAGGGCATTGGAATGACCTGTAAGGTCATTAAAATTGAGGGGTGTGTGGCCCCATGTGTCAGGCCATGTTTATTTATTTTGAACATCAGCCTGCCATTATTTATTTGTAGATATTATGCAATAATTGTCTGATAAATATATTTCTGTGCTCAGCATGTGTAGAGCTGACCTGGTTACATGAAATTCAGTGTGTGTCTTCTGATGATTTCACGTAATGGTTGAATATTTGAACAAGAAACATTGAAAGAAAAAAAAAAAGATTACACAGTACTTCCTGTACAATACAAGCTTTGGGAGACAAGACACATTTGTTTTAAGTATGTATTGGCTACTTTGCCACAGAAAGTGCTTAGACTGTTTTTGGACTTTAGATGCTTTTAGATAAGAGGAGGAATATCTTATATATTGGAATATCAAGCAGTGTAGGGAGGCCCGTGATGTACCTATTCTTATGTGGTTTCTGCTGCATGTTTTTTGTGTTGGCATTAAGCAAACTAGTTATGATACATTGTGTTTGCAGTAGGTGGGAATTTAAGATCCTGGCTTGTAACTTTCTTTTTCTTTCTGTAACTATAAAGTCATTGTCCAGTGGTAATACCTGCTTGGTAGCACCTTAAGATAAATTTAAACTCATAGTTCAGAAGTGAAAATATTTACAATCCATATCTTGTCAGCTGACAGATCTCATTAGAAGTAGTAATACGTATGAGTTAGGCACCCATGGTATGTATTTTGGCCATTTATTTGTGCTTGATTTGTTCCAAAGGCTGAAAAAGAAGTAGTACGGGAGGCTGTTCTGAAAGCAGTAGAGGAAGAGAGGAAAAATATGGAGAAGATTCATGCAGAAGAAAGAAAAATGTGGGAAGCAGAACGTGACAGACATAAAGAGAATATTGCCCAGGCTGTGAGGGAAGCCATGGAAGAGCAAAGAAAGCATAATCAAGTTAGTATATTTTACCTTTCCATGGACCTGCTTGTGTATTTTATTTTTTTCCTTTGAATGTCTTCCTAATGCTGTGGTAGATATTCTTATGACATCTATCATTCATCACTGCACCTAGTTGATACTTGCAGTGCACAGCGATCTTGATAGTTTATCTTCATCTAGACTATGTGTATGGAGAGAAGTTAGTACATTCAGAACAAACTTCCTGCAACCTTCTCGGCTATGTATATTGAAATGAGATGAATTGTGCCCTGTAAGTGCCTGGTTTTGTGCACTGACTTCAAAAGGAGCCCAAGATACTGGAATTTATATTGTAGACAGTTTGCATGATTTTTTCTTTTTTATACCTATGGAAGAGAAAAGCTGTTACGTTTGTTCCTTATTATACTGGAATTCCATTGTCTCTTTTAGTAAAAAGATATTTTTCTAAGACAAAAACAGAATAGGTACAAAATAAAAAGAGGGTTATGAAAACTGGAAAGCTAAACCAGTAATGAACCAGGAATGTTTCTAGAGTTACGTTTTAGAGAGGTACTTCTATAAGGATAATTGTACGTCACTTAACAGAAGTTGAGAGGGACATTTCCAATATTGCTTTTAATGATTGTAGGAATTACAAATTAAATATGTTATAATAGCAGTTAAATTACAATTACTCTTCCAAAAGTTGAATTTTGTAGTCTCTAATGCTGGAAATATTTGGGGGAACAGTCTGTAAACTCACTCGTTTCTTGTTGGCATACTTGAATGTTATAGTCTGAAGAATTTTAAACAAGAGATATTTCATTCATGTGTTGGAATTTGATATTACTATATTTTTTATGTCCTGAATAACAACAACAACAAAAAAAAGACCTTTAGAATTTGAAGCTAAATAGAATTAAAATAGCATATCACGGAAGTTTAAAAATCATCTCTTTGTTTACTTCTCTCAAGTGTAAAAGTATCAAGTGGTAAATGTCAGTTTTCAATTTCACTATACTGATAAGCCTTCAGGCACTCAAACTCTTCTTTACAACAAAAAGATAAGCAGCTGACTTCAAAGATAAATTCAAGCTAAGAACAATTGCTGGGGTTTTAGTTAGATACAAATCATTTAGTCTATCCAGAATGAGAACTGGAACTAGTGGTGCAGAGGATCTGTTAATAGAAGGGAGAGCAATAAAGTAGTTGTTTGCTGTCTTTTTCTTTACTGTAGTAATTTTTTAGCTTGTGGAATATGAAGAGACTAATAAAAGGAGAACTATGGTAAGGAAGTTTGAGGAGAGTTTTGATTAATCCTGAAATTTTAGGGGAAGGAGTCCTGTAGCTGAATGCATGAGGTTGGACAGGGTTTAATATTTACGGATTTGGGGAGTATGTAAAATGTCCCAGGGTATGAGAGTGGAGCTTTAAGTTGACATAGTGACTCAGGGTAGGTTTGCCTTCCTTGTGGAGTGTTCTGCCAAAGTTTCTTGGTGGTGATACTGCCTTTGAAGCTGATATTAATGCCTTTGATATTAAAAGTAGTGTAATATTGATGGATGTATTCTTTCAGACAAAATCTTAAATATACTGAGATGTCAGTGCTTCTCTGAGGAAGAAATTCAGGCCTTTCGAGGTCTTTCAACTTTCAGCTCAAGCTGCTAGTTGTTCAAGCAGTTTATAGTGTTGGAGTATCTAGTGGTGTACTTCTTGTGAAGATGAGTAGCACTGAGGTATTGGAGAGTATTGTGGTTAAACGTCCTGTAAATATCTTGCTCATGATGTAGTCATGTGGCCTTAGTTAATTCCATAATTTTTAATACTGAATAGCTCTGACAACTTTGATCATAACAGGAATAATTTATCTTACCCAGTTATAATATATGATGATTTCTCCATTGAGTTAGGTTCATTTTTTTGAGTTATTTTCATTTTTCAAATACCTAAACTACTTTCAATAAAGGAAAATACAGATTTTTCTTGAGGTTTCCAAAATCCCTTCGTATAAATATATAGTGTATTTAAAGTTACACTCTTTATTCTCTGATTGAGAACAAATTCTTTGGGGAAGATGGACTTTAATGTAGAAAGTTGTTTCTTGCAGAAATTTTTTTTTGTGACCTCTGCCAAGAACTTGCCTGCCTCCCTTAGGCCGTTGCTATTATAAACATACGGTAACTACTAAAATTCTCTGACAACAAAAGAGGTCCTGCAGAGCTCATGTGCCAAGTGATAGCTTATATTCAGTGTCAGATGTGACTTTGTTTTAGCAATGAAAAACACTTGGGACTACAGGCAGTTTGTGTGCAGACATTAATTTTTCTGGGTAGAGCTTTCCACTCAGAATTGTTTCTTATTTATATTTTTTTACTGTAAGACTTCTCTTTCAAGAGCTATAATTGCACTATTGACTTTTTGCAATTACTGTTTAGACAACATAATCTGTCAAGTTAGCTCTGTAATGGCCAAAAGTAAAACTAAAACATACTGCCTAACATTCTAGACAATGAAATGTAAAATCGTGTCCGAGTAACACTTGCCTCATTTAATTCTTTATGCTGTGCTGTAGAATTCTTTATGCTTCCTGCTTCAAAATTATCACCTGATACTATTATTATGTTTAGTACCAAGTAATGAAACAACTGAGTGTAGCTGAATGTTAGTGAACAGGCAAAATAATCTTTTGGTATCACACACATAAAAAGAGCTTTAAGAGCAGTACTGTTATTTCAAGAAAGAGAACTTTCTTTCTAACTTATTTTGGAACATAATACTAGGAAAGAGAAGCTTGACTTGTTTTTAACAAAATATCTCTTCTCCTAGTTTATCTTCTTCAATTTATCACCAGAGAAAGTAATCTATGTGTGAGAAAAAGATACTTTTATATTTAATTCTCTGTCTCTTTAGTCTTGTATCACACTATAATTGTCACAGAAACCTAGATTAAAGTGTAGTCTTATTCTGCTGTAAATTAATTTGAAGAGATTTGCTTTACTGATTTGAACTAAAGCAAAGAAATTAAACATAGTATTAAAGAGAAGGAATTTTCCTTCACTAATTCTGTAAGTTTGCAAAATGAAAGAGAAAAATCAGAAAGGGTCAGTGTAGTCTTCTGCAAATAGGTGATGCAGAATGGCTTCCAGTTATGGCACCCATAAGTAACTCTAGGAATAATTACGGAAAAATTTGAAGAAAATCAAAATTTTATCATTTTCTTTGGGATACAAATCCACTTTCTGTAGTTTAAATATATTTTGGTTTGTGTCAGAGTTGAGTAAGAACAAAACAGAAGAAATTGAGACCCCAAATTTGACAGCCAAACAGGACCTCAAGAGAATTGTGAGATTGGTAGTAGAAGGTGGGGTACAGTGTCAGCAGACACTGAGAATCATAACCAAGAACATACAACCCTGTCCTTAAGAAAAAGAATTTCTGCCAAATGGCTGTAAAACACTGAAAAGTAAAACTAGACAAACCATTAGGGAAAAGGACACTCTTACATGCTTGGGACAACAGTTGATAAACTAGATGGGAAAGACATATTTTAAAAACTGCAGCACCATTGTCTATCTGTAAAACATTTAAATTATGAAAATGAGAAAAACTAAATTTTTGTGTCGTAATGGTGTGAATTTGTTGGCTTCTCCTTTGCCTTCTTGATGACAAAATAGGTTCAGGAGTTTTGATTCTTTGTTTTAAAGGAGGAATTTACTATCCACTAATTTTCATTATCTTTTTCACCAGTTTTAAACACATGCAGTAGAAGAACCTTGTAGAACTTGGTTATATATGAGGAAGGAATTAGAAAAAAAACTTAAAGTATGCTAGCTAACATTTCTCTGGTCAGGCAATTTTAGCATAAGAACAATAAAGCTTTGAAGATCACAGTTCTGCTGAA